TGCCGCCGCGGGCTGCCCCTGGGACCTGCCGGCACCAGGACGCGCCAGGATGGGGCCTGCCAGTTACTCAGAGTTGCATCTTATTATATTTTAACAGTGCTAACTTGTCGAGTGATTCTTGCTCCCGTTTGTACGTGGTGTTATTGAAATGTATTGTTTGAGCTGAAAGCTGGTCTCTCTCCGGCCATGCTAATATATTTATTTGTAGGTATTTATATAATGAAATATAAAGCCTAGATTTATGGAGTCCCTAGATCACCTTATAAACTATATCAAACGAATATTTTTTGTTCTCCTTTTTAACCATTGAGCATTTGTTAGTCTCGTTCCCTAGCCCTCCTTACAACCTGCAGGACCATCCCCCGGTATATATTTTTTGATACTGTACACATGTGGTGTTTCTATGTGCAAAAAAAAAAATGGTTATCTAAAGCTAAACAAGCTATTATAGAAATTGCTGCTATTAGAAATGTCTAAACTATAAGCTTCCAATTATTAATTGCTTGAATGTAAATATTAAATGGAGATGTTGAAAGTGCATTTGATGTTCTGCAGCTAGCGTAGATCGGATTGCAAAGCCCAGCTGTTCGTAGGTGGAGCGCGAGCTGCCAGCGGCGCTTCCTGGTCCGAGGGCTATGTCATGGGGGAAGAAATGTATCATGCAATCATTGCAAAGGACTATAAACCTTTACAAAAACTACCAGGATTTGGAGTGCATTTGTTACTGCATACAAACCGCAGAGAAAGCCTCTGCGTGGGTGAGCAATGGCTGGGGTCCCTCGGAGCAGGTAAAAAAGCAGGTTAAAAGCAGACCTGAGGTAGAGAGCTCGCTTTGTTTCTTGCAGGACAGAAGCAGCATATAAAATATTTCTGATTTTTCCCCAAAAGGGCAGAGGTGAGCGTTTTGCAGTCTGCAGTGCGTAAAGGCCACCCCATTTTCTCCTGGTGCCCTCCTAAGAAGACAACAAGGCAGCGGAGCACACGCTTCTGCACCGGATTTAATCCTGGGCTTTCCTCTCTCAGCTGCGTAGATGAAGGGCCTTGCTTTTTCAAAGCAGAATGAGCTGTATGAAGTGTGAGATAGCAAATCTGCAAGGCTCCTGGAAATGCAGGCCAGGAAGGTGGCTGCAGTGGATGGACAATTACTAGTTATCACAGGTCTAAAGCTGACACTCCGGTGTCATTATTCACAGCTTTGGGGAGAACTGGAAGAGGAACTGAACTTCAGAAAGCAAGGTAGTCCAAACTGGACAAACAAAGCTGCAGACATCTCTGAGCTGGATTAGCAGTTGCTAGATTCAACTTCATATACTGTACAGGACTAGTTCTTTACAAAATGGCTCACATTGAGGTGGCAATCTAGACCTGTGCGCTTGGTGCCTGGCTGCACGTGGCTGAGATGCAGGATGCAGTCTGTGGCCTGTCGGGTTCCCAGCCAACCAGTTATTCATATAACACTTCCAGGCAGATTTGAGTGTTCATGTAGTAACTTTCCTTAGGATCTAGTGCTCGCAAAACTGGCGTCATTGGCAGCCTGGCTTGTCTTAGGCTCTTGCTTGAAGTCAATTTCTCCATTTTCCAGGGAAGATCTTAGTTGAAGTAGTGTCACTGCAGTTTGATGTGTATGTGCGGGAGCCTCAAGCTTGTGAACAGCAGAATTGGTTTGTGTGAAGTGGACCTTGCAATTATATTAGAGCTGCTTGAAGACACACCTGAATTGCCCTGTCAGTGTGCCTTAACCTCTACCTGGAGGGACCAGACGGGTGGGTAACTCGCCCGGCAGGCTTAATCCTCCCTTCCCGCTGTGGCGTGATGTGTGTTTGCCTGAGCCCCCCCAAGCAGTTGTGTGGCAGCACTGTTCTCTTCAAAGTAAAAATAACCCCCTCCATCTCGTGCTGCCCACTTTTTGAGCCACCTAGTCTTCCCAGATTTAATTAAAAATAAATGAATATAAGTGTCATTTTGGAACTCGTCTCTTTTCAAACCCTGAGGATTACGTAGCATCTGCAGAAAGCTGGTGCAGCATCTAGCCAGGTGTCATCTGCAAAAGCTTGCTTGCAGCGATTTAACTGCATTAGCTTTGTCAGCCTAAGTATATGTATAGATGTTCCCATTCCTGAGTCAGAATGCATTTCCAAGGCAGCTTTGGTCAAGTCAGAGGAAAAGCAATGGCTCTGTGTGTGTGAATGCTGTTTTCTCCAGTTTGGACAGCCATGGAAACTTGTATCAAGAAGGAACAGCCTTGAACATGGATACTATTGTCACAGACTGATTGTTTTTGTTCTGATGTAGCTGAAGTCTGCTATTCAAGGTGTTCTCGCTGTGGTGAAAAGGCTTGTGGGGGCCTACACCATAAAACTTGTTTCGTCACAGCTATTTTGCTCAACTTAATGTGGGTGAGGTCAAAGCTGGCAGCTGGGAATCTCTGTTGTTTCAGTTGGTGCTCCAAAGTCAATGGAAACTTGTGCAATGTGTATTTAGTGGCTGTGATTTTTCCCACCTGCCTGGAGGAGACGGTAGACCCCAAAATCTAATAATCTATTTCCACATGCAGGGAGCAAGTGGAAATAGGTAAACTGTGATTAAAATCAACATTTTGCCTGTTAGCTGTGCTGAGTCTTGAGAGGGTTTTAATCAACTCTGCATGTCACCAGGACTGCATGAGTGACAGGCAGCTCCAGTGGTGGAGGAGGGTGGATTACACAGGTGTCAGGGCAGAAATCTGTGGGTCGTGCAGGTGAACCCTGGCCCCTCACTGCGCCCTAGGATGGTTTGGAAAGAAGCATTTCCCTGCCATCCCAGGCTTAGCTAGCAGAGCAGACAGTCAGAAATAATGCATTTCCCTTGATTAATTAAGCTAATGGTTATCTGAAAACAAAAATGGCATGGAAGAAGAGACGCATGCTCAGAATGCAAAATGTGATTTATGAAAGAGGAAGTGCTGCTCGACAGACAGCAGCAGGAACCAGTCCAGAAGCAAGGGGCTGGGCAGGCGGGCTCTCTTCTGGGGCAGACTGTGTGCAAAATAACAACTTTTTCTTTATCCAGACAAAGGAAGATGAGGCCAAAGGGGCTTCTCACAAGTAATAGGAAGTCTCTTTTAACCGTAGGCTTGCAGACCCCTGGCCAAAGCTGGAGTAGCACCGCTGCTATCACAAACAGGGTCAGCAGCCTCCTTCTCTAATCTGTAGGTGTGTGCGACTCTTACACGTTACATAATTACTAGCTGTTTGCAGGTTTACAATTGGCTTAACTCATCAACATTTCAAAAAATGGATTGTATTGTGTTGCCAGTCTTTAAGGAAATAATGTTCCTCTAAGTGTGTTTTCTGCAGCTTCCTTTCCCTGCACTCACCACTGCTCCATTAGCTGCAGAAGCACCTAAAATATTGTCTCTTTTGGCAGTAGCTGTGGTTTGTTTGAGGCACCATTTCCCGGAAACCACATAGCCAGATATTTCTTACTTTAATAGTTTGATCATGTTTATCACAACTCCAGCAGCTTCCTGTGCAGTGAAAGGTGTGATAAGTAGTTACTGGTTTAAAAGATACGCTCTCCACTTGCTTTATGCCAATTGGCTGAGAAAGACAAAGTGTTTAGGGTATAAATTACTTATTTATACCATGCTCTTGCTATATTAAGTGCATCAAACCTAAATGTCTGTTACTGAGAAAATTAATGTGAAGTCCACTATGACTTTCACTGGTTATCAAAGTGGTTCAGGATGAGCTGTATCGTCACGGCTCTCCATTAGGAAGAACCGGTGTACGCTACATTTAATGTATTTCCCAGGAATGCGTTAACCTCTGTTTGGGTTGGATATATTCCAGAAAAACATTTGCTGATTTAAAAGAGAATTTATGTTTGTATTTTAGCTCTTCTAAAAGGGTCTGTTGCATCCATTTATACATGGCTAATGCCATATTGAGAGAGGAGGAACTGCAAATTTGTTCTGTAAAGCTAGTTTTCAGATTCTTCTTCCCTCCTTGGCAGTTGTGATATCTGTGTATTTGTGCCATTAATGGTGTTTGAATCCTTGCTGCCTGCCCTTCCCAGCCAACCCCCATCGCCAGTGTTTACTGTGGCCCCATGTTCAATCACCCCCTCACGATTTCAGGAGCGTCGGTGTGCTCCCCACTCTGCGGTGCGTGGGAGGTAGGATGCCCCGGTGGGAAAACACAGCACCCCGGGGTGCTAGCATGTGAACAGCCATCAGGATGGGTCTCGCATGGGACGGGATGAAGATCCTTTTTAAGGAGAAGGCTGTTAGGTAAATACATGATCTGGAACTTGTCTTTTACTCAGAATCAGAAACAGCCTTGCAGGGTCTGGGAGGAGACTCCAAAATGGGAATGAGGGAGAAACTTCTCCCTGATGGAGAAGGGGTACAAATGGCTTTGTGCAGTGGGAAGTGGAGGATTTCCCAAGGCAGTGTGCTCTGTGTGCTTTCGTTAACACGTGCGGGGGGAGGAAGCTCCTCTAGCCAGTCATTGCATGCATTTTGGAAGGTGGGGCAGGGAGTCCTTCTTTTTCCTGTTCTTCTCTGTCACATCCCTGTGTGCCGTAGGGAGCTGACTGTGCGACTTCTCCGTTGTATGTCGTGGCCTCCGTCTCTCTCTGTCCTGTTTGGGAAAGCCAGCAACAAGGTAAAGCATTCGTGGCCACGTGGTGGGGGAAAGACCCCAGGCCCGGCTTGTCCCTTTGAACACAGCAGCGTAGGCTGCATAGTTTGGCCTTGTGCGTGTTGGCTGCAATAAACCATTGTAACTGAAACGGTATCTAACCAGACTGTGTGCTCTGTGAGCCGGGGTAAAAGCCCTTCTGCGGGAGTCCTCACCGCGTGCTGGTAGCAACGGGCTGAGGCGCCGGAGGAGATCGCAGCCTGCCTTGTAGCTGCAGCCTGCTGCGGGTGGGGAGCTGCACGTCGCCTCCTCGCCAGGGAGGAGAGTCCAGGTTTAGCGCGGCCGGACCAGGGTCAGCAG